ACACAAACACAGAGACACACAGAGGCAGAGATGGAGATAGAGCTAGAGACAGAGGCAAAGGCAGACAGTGAGAGAGATTGATTCTTACAAAGTAGACCCTAAACCCAAGGGACTGGCTGCACTGTGTTAGAGGCCAGGCAGGTGGAAGAGAGGACAGCATGGCAGTGACTAGAGCTCACATGGAACTCTAGAGGTAAGTAGGTGGAGCCTGGACTGCAAAGACCTCTGAGCGCTGTGTTAAAGATGTTGAACTTTCTTCTGTAGGCAGTGAGATCCCCAAAAAGTTTTAAGTCAGGATGTATTATAATATTTGAACTTTGGAGGTAGAAGGAGCTCAGCCCAGAGCATAGTCTCCCTTTTGCTGTCTGGAGTTCTGTCTGGAGGGCATTTAGGGTGGGGTGGGACATCTGAAGGGTGAATCTTGGAATGTGCCAGACAGATCCCACCAGGCACAGGAAGGACAGAAGAAAAAACAAAAAAAGCACAGGCCTCCCGGGAGAGGCACAGAGGAGACAGAACAGAATGCAACTCCCTGCAGCAGCCTCCCCGGAGGAGGAAGAGAGAAAATCAAGGCACTGTGGCCTCAGACCCAGTGCTGAACACATTAGTCAGAATGCACTCACCACCCTGGTGGGGTCCAGGGGAGCCCATGAGTACTCAGGGGGAGCCAGAGAAGTGGGGAAGCACTTTTCCTTCAACAGTCTGCAGTGGCTAGAGCCTAGCTGTGGAGGCTGGGACTGCAGTGGAGCCCAAGCAGGAGGATGCTGTAGGCTCCAGGCAAGAGATCAGAAGTGACAGAGCCTCTTGAGGAGCTACTCAGAAATGCCCCCCGGCCTATGGGGCTGAAACTTAAAGGCCAGGCAGGAAGTTCCTTGTCCCAATTTCTCCATCTCAACTAAGGGCAACTCCACCCATTTTGCAGCTTCTGACTGTCCTTGCCACCATCCATAACCACTCTCTGTTTCCTGGCATCACCATGACAAGCGATGTGTGCATTTGAGCTTTAAGTTTATTGAACCTATAGGTTGATGTCTTTTTTCAACGCTCTGGAAAATTATCACTTTCCATATTTTCTTTTTGTATTTTAGGGAAGGATCTACAGGGTGTTCAGGGTCTCACTACTAGATCAGACTCATAGTGATTCACCTGTTTATAGCCTCCCAAGATCTGGGATTATAGGTGCACACCACCACTTCCAGTCTCAATTGCCATCCCAGTGCACCCCAGGGGCAGGGCCAGCATGGCAGGCCCAGGGATTGAACCCCAGCCCTTGCGTCTCTAAGTAGGCACTTAATTCGCTGAACTATTTGGCTGGCCCTAAAGTTCAGAAGGATTTTTTTTTTTTTTTGGCTAGCTCAGGATGCCTGAAGGGCAGGTTGGGTAAAGCATGAGGATCTGGGGCTCGAACCACAGCATCCTGAGCCTGACTGCTTTGCTTAAGCAGGCACTTAAACAACTGAACTAATGGATAGGCCCCCCTCCCTTATTTTCTTTTTGAGGCAGAGTTTTGCTGTGTAGTTGAAGGTGGCCTTGAACTCATGGTGATCTTCCTGCTTCAGCCTCTGGAGTATTGGGATTATGGCCGTGCAGTACCACGCCTGGTGATATTTTCAAACATTACCTCTGTCTCATTATTTCTCTTCTCTTGTGCTCTCTTTCATCTGTTAATTTTGCACAATTTCTTTTGATCTATGAAGTGTAATGGAAAAAATAGGCCATGTGTGATAAGTTTTTGCCCAAATCCAAATTGCTGGATTATTATGAGGTTGTCTAATAGAGCTGAACAATCACTTCGTCTTCCTCCCTCAGCTCTAAATACAACTTGCTTTCACCTTTCTTGAGTGGAAGGGAAGCCCCAGTCAACTCCTTGCATGAGGCTAAGCCCCACCTCAAAGTTGGCCACAAGCAAAAGTCCATTTAACCCAACTCACTTTGTCTCAGGTCAGAGGCTCCCTGCCATTTTGGTGGTTCTCTCTGTGTCCTCAGAAAAGCCCTCCCTTTTCTTTTTTGGCCTCTCTCCTACACTGAAAGACCTCTGAAAAACCTAACAGTGTGCCTTTTAAGTTTAAACCTTTTACTATGATAGCAAAGGGTAGTGGGGCAGGCCTATAATCCCAGCACTAGGGAGGCTGAGGCAGGAGGAGTGCTCTGAGTACGGGGCCACTTGAGGTATATAGTGAGTTGAAAGCCAGCCTGAACTGCATAATGAAACCCTGTCTCAAAATGAAAAAAAAAAAAAAAGATATAAAACACACTGCCATTATTCCCCCTCAAAGTATTCTTCCTTGGGCCAGCATGATAGCTCAGTGGACTAAGCACCTGCTTAGGCAAGTGCAGGGACTTGGGTTCATTCCCCAGCACCACATACCAGGCTGGCATGTGAAGGCACATGCCTGTAATCTGAGCCCTGGGGAGGCTGAAAACAGGATGATCACTACCAGCCCAAGTTGCTTAGGTAAACCCTGTACCCAATACATTTTTTAAAAAAATCTTCCTTGCTTCAAACACTTACTCCATCATTCCTGTCACTTTCCAAAGCAGTTCTGGAATTCCTCTTGCATGAGTGTCTTTTGTTGTGCACTCAGGCCTGTCGTGATGGCCTGAATTGACTAAAAACATTTACCTTTCATGATCATTTCTGACTTTGGGGACGATCCAGGGGCACACTTAGTGGGATCCAGTGGTTGAGCTTCAAGAGGGTACACTGCAAGGTTTTTGCCAGCGGCCTTTCCATTGGGTGGCGCTCAGTAGCAGCAGTCACTGTATTTTTGATCATATCTCATGAAAACATTCCTGAAAGAGGAATTCTAGGACTGGTTCAGAAAGCACCAAGAATGATGGGATAAGTGTTTCTGAAGTGGTGGGGGAGTATTTTGAGGTGGATCAATGTCAATAAATCTTTTTCCATAATAATTTTTTTAGAATTTAAACATGCACCATATTTTTAATCATTCTCTTTGTGCTTAATCTATTGTTAAACCCATCCTGTGAATTATTATTATATTTTTCAGTTCTGGAATTTGTACTTGATCCTTTTTCAAATATCCTACATCACAGGGTCAGACGCCTTCTCCGCGTGCCTCCTGGGCAGCTCTGCTCCCCCACCCTTCCCTGAGGGCTGGCCTGCCCAGACAGCCCCCTTTTTCTCTGGTTGGCAGCAGCCTGTGGGGAGCACCTGGAATACTCTGAAAGGAAGAGAGGGAAGTATAGGCATGTTCCCCAGCTTTCTCCCAAGTGTCACCAGGTTGCTCATGTCTGTCCCTCAGTGGACATCCCAGTTCCAGTCAGGTGGCTGTCTGCCCCTTGTTCTCCCTTGCTCAGTTGGGGCAGCTGTCTCTCCGTGCTCATTCAGTCCTATGTATAGTGACAGCACTCCACTGCCACTAGCTCCCACAGCTCTCCTGTCA